CACACACACACACACACACACACACACACACACACACACACACACACTGTGTCAACTCCGATGAGGGCCACAGTTCACCACATTATGTTAGTAGGTCGATCATGTCGAATAAAGTCTGATCACTTTCCAGGGTTAATGAATAACGCAACAAAGCTGTCAGAAAAGAAAAACAAGAACTGGGTGGCGACAAATGTCTACAATGGTGTGAGAAAGAGAAAGAAAAAACAAACAAACGCCATGGAATGAGACTAACCTTGTGTCGCCTGTGTCCTTTTTGAAGGAAAAGCCCAGCAGAGCGATCTTCTTCCCGGTGACGGTGTTGAAGAGGCAGTCGATGATCCTGCAGGCGAACCGCCGCCTTTGGTACTCATTCATGTCGATCACCTGAGAACATCGTGAACAGATCAGAGAATACTGTGAATTCAGCGAGGAGAGGCCTTCAGAGAAAACAACAAAAAAACCTAGATGTAGTTCTCACCTGCTGCCAGTAGGAGGCTACTTCAGGCAGGTTGAGGGCTTCGCACAGGTAAACCAAATTCAGCACATCCTTCTGGAAACAGCTCCCACCAAAACCTGAGCGGGGTGTTAAGAGAAGGCGACACTTAATCCGTGTTTAGATTTACTAAACTTTACGCGGTGGCTCAGGTCTGACATCTTGTCGACGCGTTCCTTACCTATGCTGGCTTTGAGAAACTTGCTCCCTATCCTCTGGTCCATGCCGATGGCCTTGGCCACCTCCTCCACGTCGGCCCCGGTGGCCTCACAGAGGGCGCTGATGCTGTTGATGCTGCTGATCCGCTGTGCCAGGAATGCATTGGCTGCCTACATGAGCAAAAAAATTATAATTTCATTTAGTCGAGAGAAAATGAATTGGCAGCTATTCCTATTAACCGATTGTTTCAGCCAGTCTTCAGTCAAACATTTGCTGGTTCAAGCTTCTCACATGCGAGTTTGATACGTCTTCTTTGTCATATAAGATAGTAAATAAATATCTTTGGGTTACGGACTATAGCCAGACAGTTTTTGAGGCCAATATGGTTAATATTTAATAAAAGTCAAATTTTTTTTAACACGGATGCCTTAAGATTTCTTTTGCAGCCAAGTGGGACATTTTACAGTGTATTATACGACTTGTCAGTGCTTTCTTGCTGACAATTCATCAGTATAGTTCTCTTATGGTATGTCAACACAAAAAATGTAAATATGTGATCTTGGGGTCTGAGAAATTATAATAGGCATTTTTCACTATTTTCTGACCTAATTAATTGAGACAATAACCAGTTAATTAAATAAAAAAAGAAACAATGAAAATAACTGCGTCACCGCCCTACACTCACCAGTTTGGACAGCTCGGATGACCACGTGTTGGTGGTGATGATGCGAGCTTTTGGGACCCAGTGCTCATAGACGGCACACAGAGCTCGGATTGCCCTTTGACCTTCGGCCGTTTCATCTCCACCAATCAGGACGCGGTCCGGCTCCTTCAGATCCCGCACCGCTGTTCCCTCTGCAAGGAACTCTGGGTTGGATAGCACCTACAGTAGCAGCGGCACAACAACTTCAGAAACTCGCAGCACAACCGATGTAAAGAGTTTCTTTCTCCTGCAACAATACACACTTGTAGGTTCAGGCTGGGCTTTGTGTTGGCGTCGAATATCCGTCTAATGCTCTCGGCAGCTCGGACCGGGACTGTGCTCTTCTCCGTGACAATCTTGTAACCGTCAGACACCTCCACAATCCGCCGGGCACACGCCTCAATGAACTTCAGGTCCGCTGCACGACCCTTCCCCATCCCATAGGTCTTGGTTGGGGTGTTGACCTGCCCAATGAATTCACGCATGCGTCATAAATGTCAGATTTATTCCTGCAGCTGGTCAAACTGTGTGTGTGTGTGTGTGTGTGTGTGTGTGTGTGTGTGTGTGTGTGTGTGTGTATGTATGTGTGTGTGGGGGGTGGGGTGGGGCACTGGAGGACTCACAGAGATGAAGACAAGGTCCGCGTCCTTGATGGCTGAGTCTATGTCCGTAGAGAAAAACAAATTTCTCCCCCTGCATGATTCAACCACATCTTTCAGACCCGGCTGGAGGGGGAGGAAGTGGGAAAATGAGTGGGGGATGGTGTGTCAGTGAATGGCAGAAACAGTTACAAATGGAATACGAGCTCTCGAGGGCTGCTTATTAAAGCCAGGCATGATGATGTAATAACTTTTGGTCGGGGCTGACGTAGGGAAGTTGCGACACCGGGCAGTCTGGAACTAATTTATGTTTCTTTGCACCCACGCAATACTTTACAAAAAGACTTGGCTGGAACAGTTGCCTAGCTGCATCTACTTTTTCAACACTGTGATTAACCTCAAAAAGGGAGGTAATACTGTAGGGGAAAGGGCACTAATAAGATACGACCTTGTTAAAAGATTGTTAATCCTGTTATAATACACTCAGCTCATTGATATGATACCTCATAAATGGGCAGAGTGTCCGAGTTCCAGGCTTTGATGCGAGACTCGTTGACATCGACCACGGTCACCGTGATCTCCGGACACATGTGGGCGATCACGCTGCACGTCGGGCCTCCTACATACCCAGCACCAATGCAACAGATCCTCTTTATCTGAAACATCTGCAAATGTAGAGAGAGAAGAGGATACAGAAAGGAGAGAGTCGATCAACTTCTAAAGACACAGCTCCTAAATAACATTGGGAATGTACCTTTACCGTGTACTTTTACTTCCCGATATATACAGTACATATACATATACATATATACACACACACATCACACACTCATATACTGTACATAGAAATATCTACACACATATACTGTATATATATATATAAATTAATAAAACTGGCAGATTCATTGATAATGCATTGACATTCATCAGTCACATTTCAATGTGTTAAAAGTGTAAAAGTGTAACAAATGTAACCTCCACAGACTGATATACTACCCAGAGAAACGTTAAGCTTGGTTTCTGTCCAACACTTGTTGGTTTTCTAAACCCTCCTGACCATCAGGGCTTCACATGTAAAGCAATGGCTCCCACTCATCAGGGCTACAGTACCGGTCGCCCCGTCGCAGCCTGGTAGAACATAGAGAGCCTTTCATCGGCTCAGCCACGTCTGACAGAGATGAACACTGACCTTTTATCACAGAGACCCTGCAGTGAGGGTAGTTCACGTTAGCTTTGCTGCAGAGCGAGTGTCAGTGTAACATTACGCATAAACAGGACCATAACTACGCTACTTCCTCTCTTCTTTGCTAACGCCGTGTGAGCGAACTAAACACAAGAAACAAATGAATGGACGTCAATGTTGAGCCAGCCAGCTAGCAAGTAGTCGTTAGCTAGCTTACGTTACATTACCTCTGCCAACTCGACAGTCAGTCAACTTCAGGAATGCGCAAATTACGGTCACGGTCAGCTCCTCTATTAAATGTGTTGAAACAAGCCGTCGGTTCCGGTTCACGAACGATAAATGTCTTTAACTAACTCTTAAACCGGCAAACAAACTCATACCATCAAGGTTGCTCTCACAACTTTTCCTGCACTACCTATCGCTAAACTGAGATACTAATGTATGGTGAACGTTACCTCCTCACTTCAGGAGTCTAAGCAGCGCACAAGATGCTTCCGGTGTGGTATTTCAGAGTAAAAGCATGTGCTGACTCCATTCATAAAAAATAATGGAAACACTTGTCCGTATATCGCTGAACATTTAAACACTGTTGGAGGAGGTTTACTTTAGTATAAGTACTAATACCACACCAAGAATACAATTAAATACAAATAAAGCATTGAAAATATTACTTAACCCTCCTGTTATGTTGCGGGTCAAATTGACCCGTTTCGAAATTTGAAAATCTGGAAAAAATATACTTTTTCTGTATGAAACTTAACGTAGAGGAGGATGTGTCTGAAGATGAAGACCATCTTGAGGTCAATTCAGATCATAATGTACTGATTATGAACCATCAGATGAGGAAACTGATACCTCCAAGCGAGACAGATCGTGTCAAAAAATTGTGAAATACAGTGGTCATCCTCACCCAATACACGTCAGCCAAGACTGTCTGCCGAAAATATTATAAAGACAGTGCCAAAATGTATTTGCACAAAGCCCACCGTGACGACATGTCACTCGTGTGCTGTGTAGACAGACAGACACACACACACACACACACACCTCGTTCATTGTGCTCAGATCGTTATTTTTTGTAAATGTCTGTTTCTTAACGCTATAAATAAACATAAATAAAGTTTACTTTCAATACAAATCCTTATGACTCATTTGGCTTGATTTTGAGTGAGCGGGTCAATATGACCCTGAACAGCAGAGGCGTCTCATCTTAATTACATCACCCCATGAAAAAAAGAAAGTTTCAAAATGTAAAAGAAATTGTACATGTATTTTTCATGAAAACGAGTGAGTTATCCTAATTGAACTATGATCTATGGTGGGGTGAATAACGCCATTCCACTAAATACTGGTTGAATTGTTAGTAATGGTGTTGGTGATGAGGTACAAACTATATTTATTAGGATTTTTTGTATCACTAATGCATTAATTACATTTTCCATGTCTCCATGGCCACTTAAAGCCTCCAGACATGTTTGCAGGATTTATTGCTAATTTATTACTCATATTTTTTAGATACCCGTCTTATATTTTCCACATACATTGGCATAGATGTGGGATAGCGGAAATGACCAGGAGCAGAGCTAACAGCAGGCCATAAATAAAATCCATAACAGCTCTCTTTCATGAAGACAATTAGACTTCTCTGTGTCTTGAGTTTAAAGTCCAAAATGCTTCTCTCTGCAGAAATCTGTATAAAGTGTCACCCTCATAAGTTTATTGTGTTGTTGCATAAATACATTCTTAAAGACTTATTTTCCTTTAGTCTAAAGTAAATGTTTTTGATGATGGAAAATGCAATGAATATGAATAAAACCCTTAAAAAGTTGAGGTGCAAAATGACCAGCACTTTAAATAAAAACAAACAATTAAATCATGTTGTACATCAAATAAGTGCTGCGTGTCAGTTTCTAAGAATGTGTCAAGTTTTGGAGCCTCTTGTAATCTCGAGACAAAACTTTACATGGAAATTGACGGCAGTTGAACTACAAAAGTAGAGGAAGCAGCAGACCAATTCTATTAGCTTTTTATATCAATATTGTTTTCTTATTGCCGCTTTACATTCAGATGTCTAACATGGTACCAGACCATAACATTTATAAAAAGGGTTCTTTGATACCGACATGTCACAGGAACATTTTCCAACATACTGCAACATTTCACCGACAAACATTTTAAAAAATAAACTTGCACTAGAGCTGCTGGCTAATAAAAAAACCTCTAAAATGTACAAAATATGTATATAAAAATCAGCAGCTGCCATCAACTATGTTTAAAACACAACATACAGTACAAACTTCAAATGTAACACAGAACCCGCAGATATCTTATGTTGCATTTCAAGTTATTTCCCAAAGGGTATGGTTTTATTTGGTGGGCTCCACGGAGGAGGTGGACCGCCTTGGAGTATCGCTTGTATCCGCCTTTCTTCTCTTTGTCTCTTCTGTTCCAGATCCTTCCGTACCTGTTGGGTAAAGAAATATTAACTCTTCCACATAACTTGGATTTACAGTGAGTGAGACCATTTGTATCTGAAAAAACAAAACAAAAGAACCTTCGATGCCACTCACCAGCCAGTTTTCATACATCTCCAAAGCCATTTGATCTCTCTCCTCTTTCACGTAGCGCTCCTCCTCAGCTTTATTTTGGGTTTCCTCGCGCACTGTCGAGACTTTTTCATGGAAAACAACTGTCTTCTTTTCACGCCTTAAACATTTTAAGAAAAAAAAAAGAAAGTGGCTAAACATCAAGCCTTGGCTGCCATCTAGTGGTTGATCATTTTCACTCCCAGACATTAGAGTTTGATGGGACAGCACTGTGAGGTGTGAATACTGACTTTTAGACCCCAATAAAATGTGTACAATCAAGTACAGTAAGAGAATTGTATTTAAATACATGTGATCTTTCCATGCTGGCCCTTTAAATTGTTTGCTGGGTAGACCAGCAGGCATTCTTGAAACGTCTAATGGTACAGCAGCTGCTTCCTTGAGTCAATGATTTACACTCACCAGTCAGAAACGGCAGATTTGCTGTCTCTCTTTCTTTCTTTCTCCTTCTCTTGTTTTCTGAACCGAAGTTTATTTTCAGCTTCTCTTTGTCTTCTGGACTTTTCTTTGAGGAGATGATCATGCTCACTTTTCCATTTCTCAAACACCTGCGATGTTTACAGCATCACCGATTAGCATGTCTTCACACGGAAGTGCTTATTTTGTAACGCACAATAAATAAAAGGGACAAACCTGTTGAGCAGATTGCGTCTTTTCTTCTTTCTCTTCAACCGCTCTTTGCACCTTTCTGATCGCGTCCTGCTTTTCTTTGGCTTTTGCTTTGAGACTCTCCGCCTTCGTTTCTTTCCAAGCCTCGTATGATGCAACAGCATCTTCCTTTTTAGCCTCTTCTTCCTGTTATTGGTTTGTTTTTTTATAAGAAAGTAAAAAGTGTGCATTTATGTTGAAATACTGTTTCTTTTATAGTGTTCCATTACTATGTGGTGTGTTGTATTTCCGATTTACAAAACAGATTACTCACTCTTTTCTTCTTCTCTTTCAGGATTTCCTCCTTCTTCTGTATTTGCATATTCTCTCTTGACTTTTCCTTTTTCTTTCGAAGCCATTGCTGTTAGAAATACATGTTAGTGGGCTGGGATTCTAGTTGACCGAGACTCAACTGTAGATTTTGTTGTCCAGCGGCTGATGAGAAAAAAAGCCAGACTCCCAAGTACTGGCTTTTAAATTAATTATTTGATTACATTCGGACAAGTACAGCGTCTCAAGGCCAAACTCTGCATCTGTACCTGATAATAATGTAATAAAATCGGAGAATAATATAAATGGAGCATTTAACAGGGTGGAAGAAATTACACTAGAAGTATGTTCTATGTATCTGATATAACTGTAATCAAATCAGTGTCGGAGTATAAGATGGAGCTCCTCTTATGGTTGCATTTTGTCCTTCACCATAAAACAAACCAAACACTGCAGAGTTTTCCAACCACTCGGGCTCGTTATCACACCGACCTGGTAAATGGCGGCTCTGAGTGAATCTGCCGCTGGAAGCTGAGAGTCTTGCAGCGAGACTTTACGATCCAGAAGTTTGAGAGTTCCCAGATACCTTGATTCCACTTTCCCGGCGCACACACTGTGCGACCTCTGAGCGGCCTCAGAGGGAGAGCTCCATGTCCTGATGGAGATGAAACGAAGGCCAGTTACCAACCCTGTTCTGTCCACGCAGCTTTAGAAGCAGCTATTGCTGCGGCTTGCTTACCAACCTGGTGTCAAAGGATTTGTGGTGGACACGAGAGAGCTGCTGCGAGTGTTCTCCAGAGTCTGCCTGAGAGGAGACAGAAAGACACATTTACCGAGACCAACAGGCAGAGCATATCCAACATGTCACAGTCTCACCCGCCCACGAAGGTCTTACATTAAACTCTTCAAACGACGTGGAGTACTTTCTCTCTTTGCTGTCATCGGAAATGAAGCCATCTAAAACAACACGATAAACGTCAAGAGGATTACTGCCATTTGAAAAACAAGTGTGTGGTGCTGAGGATGTTACCTCTGGATCCGGAATCCACTGTGGTCTTGGTGAAGAGCTGTGACTGCTCACTCTTACTCGAAGAGGATTTGCTGAGGCCGCAGGAAACTGCTCGACTTCCTTCCTTCCACTGCGATGAAATGGCATAACAAACACGCGCTCCAATCAGAAGATGTTTCAACTACAAATACCGAACAAGCCGAGCAGAGAGACGTGCATGTGCACCGCGGCTCCTTACAGCGGTGCTGCTGGACGTGTCGGGGGAGAGGGGGATAGATGCAGAGGACGTCTGGGGCCTGCTGAGATCCGGAGATCCAGCGTCTTCAGCCGTCTTCTCCGCAGTGTGAAGGCTCAACCCGAGAGTCCTTTGCCTCGGTTTGGGCCTGGGTGGCTCCCTCTTGGTATCTGAATAAAGACAGTTTGTTGAAAGATGAATTTAAAAAAAGCTTGTACATGAAACGGTGTAAACGGACCTGCTGAGGACACGCGTGTGAGGTCAGTTGCTGATAACGGAGTGTGGGAGCCGTCCTCCAGAGCAGAGGTCCTCTTCTTCTCGGGACCCGGAGTTTCGGCCCCACTGTTGTCAGATGGTAAGGGCAACGGCATGTCCAGGAGAGAGTCATCTGACGTTTGGTACAACAGAGATTTACTTGAGCTCCTTCTCGTGATTTGGGGATCGGCGGACACTGCATCACTGCTTTCAAATGGCACGTTGTCGTCACCGATGTTCGTGGAGTCGCAGTGATTGCTGTGTGGACCGGTGGAAGAGTCCGGCGGCTCGTTTTCGCGTGACTCTGGCACCGCCGCGCCGTCCGGGGGAGAGACGACTCTCTGGGTTTTCAGAAATGAAACTCTCTTCGTCCTGCCGCGTTTGCCCTCGTCGTCTGAAATGTCAAAGTCGTTGAGTTTGGGTTGACTCTTCGCCGCCTTGATGGCGCCGGCCCTCTTTTTACTCGATTTGAGGAGCTCGTTCAGAAAATCTGTGAAAAACAGAGAAATCAAATACAGAAATTTAGAAAGATCAAAAATAGAGAATGACAAGATAGGACCAGCCATTAAACTGTATCTGTTTAAGTTCACAAAACAATTTAGACTCAATGTCCACTTACTAGCTTTTACTGGAGCTCTTTAACTGCATCTTACTATCCCTTCTTAAGTGGATGGTTTCTGGCCAACTGAACAAACTCTATCCACTGAGGAGGACTCAGAGATATGGTTGAAAAACTAGTAGAACGTGATCTGGAGTTAAGCTACTCACCTTAACTTTCACACTGAACATGCATCCATCTAAGTTGAAGGTGTCTGACTAACAATGTTATCCAAAGGAGGAAGCAGAATCATATGGTCTGCTCCATTGATGTTCTGCTGTAACTCTTGTTGCCATCTGACATTTTCCTCCTGTAAAGCAGTGATGTTAGCCCTTCATCCTGCTGAGGTTGGCAGGGAGGAATGAACTGTGAGGACTGAATGTGTAATGTTCCACCAGCTGTAAAGCAGTGGTTCCCAACGTTTTTCTGTCTGCTGTACCCCCACAGCCATTTAACAAATGTGTCCATTTGAATAGATATTTAAACCTGATGTTACTGAACACTGCTAATTACATAAAATAGGAAACTTTTTTTCCAGCAAGTTCAGTCAAAGTTACATTCGTAGCACAACAGACGTGGCAGAAGCGGGACGGTTCAACCATTTATCCATTACTTTGAGCTTAGCCGTCTCTACTTTCACTCTACTCACACACTCTAACCAGATTGTAATGTATGCATTTTTTTTTTAATAAGATGGGCTTCCTACATCCTGGTTGGGAATCACTGCTGAAAAAAACTGCCATTTACAGAGTAATTTCTGATAATCTCTTCACAATTTCTCCAATTAGTTGTAATACATTTTCACTGTGAATCACAGTTAGATGCATAAAAGTATTAAGTCACTTTCACAAAGTAGTGTAAATAGGATGCACTGTAGACCGCAGTAAATCAAAGCACCACAGAGACCCACATCTAGAGGATGTCGATGCTGCGCCATCTCACCGTCTTCATCGTCACTGAAGTCATCGGAGTACGAGTTTCGATCTGTTTCTGCCTTGCTTGCTCTGGCGGAGACAGCAGCCTGAAGTTCGTCCTGAAACGTTTTGGATGAGATTAGACTGACTGTTCACCTCACTTTATCTTTTGCTTCTCCCAACTACTACAACAAACATATCACAGTACACCATTAAAAGCATACAGGTGTAGAATATGCAATGTAATAGTGCAAATGGGCAGGTAGAAAGCAGATAGGTCTAGTAAGTACATGAGATAACGTGTGTTCAGGGGGCTGTGGGTTTAACTGACTAATCAGTCTGCTCTCATTTGGTGACATGGAGACTGCACACAACACTTTACCTGAAACGTTGTTCTCCTCGATGTTTTCGGGCTCTTCGTGTAAGCCAGTGTCCTGAACTGCTGATTAGTCATTCTGAGAACTACAACGCTGCACTCTGTCCTCTGAACGCGTCCACTCACGTTAGCATGCTAGCTAAACTAGTGTTCGCTAATTTCACTGTGACAAGTAATGTTAGCTTGCTATAGGCTTCGTGTGCTTAGTATGTACTAGTATTGCTAAATTACCATTATGCTAAGTTTGTCTGATTAAATACATACTATAGACCTATTCGTAAATGGTACTACCTAAAGGACATAGCTCGCGACAGTGGGCTAACTGACTTGTTGATGGTTACCCTGGGAAACGTGGAAAACAGTCTCACCACTGCGCATGCTCAGAGGATTACAAACTCAATTGTAACAGCACACAAGCACACACACACGATTCAACCTGATTTGGGAGCAGTTAATCGATAATACTGATGTGAAGACAGGCGTCTATAAAGTATCTGCCAAAGTATGAACAGAGGCGTAAAAATCAGTCATACAGCAATAGGCCACTGGGTTACACAGAAGTTTTATAGTTTTCTACTTTAAGGTGGTGTGTACGATTTGGTGGCATCTAGCGGTGACGGCGCAAATTGCAACCAACTTCTTCTGTATCAAGCATGTGGCAATGTACTTGCCATTGAAGTGCAACTAAAACACACTTAATTTATAGACTAATAAAACAAAAAAAATACACAGGCAGACAGTATGACTGAATTATTTTTATTTATTTTTGTTTTGTTACAGGAAAAGTGCATAGTTGAAGCCCTTTTTCTCTTAGACTGAAACAGTGTAAATCGTGGTCTCCTGCGGTAACAGATGATCCACTTGTTCATCTCACAACCTAGTATGGCTTCCCCCTTCATTATACACACCGTCTTAGGTTTTACTTAACTTTCCCCATCTCCTCCCGAGTCTAGAAAGACATAGGGAAGAAATCTTTAGAGGGCCTTATTCGCTGATATGGAAAATAAGAGAAGCTATTACAGATGATATTCAGGTTCTGAACTCTTACACCATGTATATCAAGAGAGACACTTCAATTTTAAGACTAATCCACGTAAATTCTGATATCACAAGTGCCCCTGAAAACATAATCCAAGGCCCAGACACACTTCCACAGCCATGTTGCCATGACAGGGGCACAACCAAGATCAGGTCATTGACGAGAAACCAGGAAACCCCCATCATGTACTGCAATCCAACAGCCAACAATAAAAAAAACATTCACTTGTTATAATGTTCCATTTTTCTTGAGATTGTATGAAAGTGTTGATACTCTTAAGTAACTTTGAGGCTGTTGTATAGTGGTATAAATATCCACCCACAGTTACATACAGGGTAAAAGAACACCAGACATTCACCACTATATTGCTCTGCATTAGAGATTTCTATTGTTCTGTTCACTAATTAAACCTTCTAGCTGACAAACTGTTTTTTTTATTTTTTAAATGAATCACTCATTTAGCAGCTCTGGACCAAGAGAAACCAACAAATCCTGTAAACCACGGTAAAGAGAGAACCTCCAGATCATTCCCACGTCCTCTTCTGATCTCATTTTATATCAAAAATGAACCGAAATATTGCTCTTCTTTCACAAGAAGTTGTCGCAGTATTGAGACCAGAACTTCAACATTGGCACCGTTTTCTAGCTCCTTTCCTTTAAATTGGTTTGACATCATCATCATCATCATCATCATCATACCGAAGTTGTAGAAGTAGAAACTCAATGCTCCAATCAACCACAGACTGCAGGCCCTCACCTCCACCATTTTAGACCGCTGACTCAGCACAACACGCCTTCATAAGAAGACGGCATACCACAACAAAATAAGATTCTCTGCTACTAATAAGTTGAGTATAAAATTGACTTATTTTCATCTTTTAACCACTAAATAATGACAGTACATGGAATCATCTCGATATGATTAAAATGCTTGTGCCGAGTATATTGTTTTACAATGACCACACTTAATACACATATGCCTGCAATTCAGTTCATTTCAACTACGTGAAATGGGAGCATTTGACTGTCCAACTGTAGCCTGTTGAACAGATCGGTGGTCCAGATAACTTACAACCACGGTCACACAACCAACAGTCGCTTAAAGGGACAGATGCGTTTACGGAGACGTCGTTCACACAACACACCGGACTGTTTGCTGGAGTATGTACTCGGACTGAGGCCTGAGTGTAAACACAGAAGATGGATTGGCTGTATTGAAATCAACGGCGTGTTGCTGTGATCCTAATTCATAATAGTATTCGTCCATGTAAATTCATTGCGTTAATCATTATGCTGGTTTAAATGTGCTATTAAAACACTACGTGATATGACATCATTACTGGCACCGTTTATAGAGTTGTGACTTAGAAGTGGAAAGAGAGGAATGTTTCAGAGAGAGACCCACCACCCTTCAACGCTTAGCAAGCACTTGAACAACGCCCCGCCTTCTGATTAAAGACTACGAATACCACTTAGAGCCCAACTGATATATTAACATGCCGATATTATCAGTCAAAATTGGATTGTATGCGTCTTTAGACATACAAAACAACAACGTTACTAATTATATATTTTTAATTCAAGATGGAAAAAAAACGTCGTCGTTATTCAGATCAGTTGGGCTCCAGTGACAGGAGTCATAGACAAATCCATCACAAAAAAAACAGTGGCAATAAAGTAGGAGAAAAGCAAAAGATATTTGAATGAAGGGGAGATGACGCTGTCCCTTTGTCACAGTCGCTGGCTGACTGCAGCTCCAGTCAGTGCAGGTGAGTGAGTGCTGGTGCTCTCCACTGCTAGTCGATAGGGGGCGCTGGAGGCTCTCTTCCATTGCGCTGCAAAAAAGAAAATATTAAGTCTTAACAACAGAAACAATAATCATAAAAATAAAAAACAAGTTAGCTTCAAATTTGGACACACAATGTTCATCTGGTTGTGTACAGCCAGAGGCTGAGTCCCTGTTTAAGCTGCGGTCAGCAACTTTGGAGAAACCAGCAAGAACAAGCTATATTAAAAATAATAATACAACAGAAACACCCAGCCCAGCGTAGTCACCTCTAGCAGCGTGAGTTCCAAAAGTCGCTAAATGTAGCAAGAAAGTCTCCAAGTCGGCTACACTGACAGCCCGTCCCTCCAAAGCCACTCCCCCAAAATAATCATAATGAACGTACACAACCAACATGGCTACCGTTAGTACTCACAGCTGTCAAGCTAGCAGCTTGTGGTAGACATGGGTCACAATAATGAGTGCACAGGCAGAATACGCAAAGGCAGGTAAACAGGCAGGGAGCCCGTCCAATCATTTCATTGGACTGCCGCAGGACTTTTTTTTCCTTTTTCTCTTTTTTTTGTCAGAGCATTTGATTTATTGATTGCTGCCAGGATGGAATGACATTTTCAACAAATATAACACGAAAATGTTGCTAAAAAAAAAAAAATCTTTACCCACCCTAGCTCTGAAATACAGCTCCAGCTCACGTCACAGAATAAACATTTAGTTCCTAATCTTGGGAGAGAACTGCTCATCTTTGCAAAATATGGATCAAACAACTGAAACATAGAAACTGTGCGACTAATTTCTGCTTTTGGTGGCCTGCCAATTGGTGTATAATAATGGATGGCGTATAATAATAGACCAAAATAAAATACCATACAAAACCAGAGCTCACCGACTCTTATTAAATGACACAAACCAAAAAACAATGTTGAGACAATAATTCAGCAGCCTATCTGAGGTCAAGACAGCTGACGTTTGAAGAGCACAGCAAGACAACCTGACGTTTAACCAACAGGCCGGATTTTATGGAAGACATTTTGGCATGTCACAGTAAAAGCACAGGTGTAAATAATACAAGTAATGATGGCTTCAGTTTCAGGGTCTTGTGTTGTGCTTACAGGACAGAGCCATAGTTAGAGACGTTAGTAACACCAACAGGTCAAAACGTCTGCTGTGAAAAAGGCTAATAGCTAGCATGTAGCAAAATAAGTGTCACTATTAACATCGCTTCTTTCTTTTTGTATTTTTATTATCCAAGTTTATAGTTTCCATCAAATGGCGACTCATTTCAATTCTATGTCATAAAATCCCCATTAAAGGAAAAATAGCATCCTATTCAGTATCTTCAGCTAATGTACTTCTGTTGTAAACCCATGTTGACAACATCACCGTTACTACGTGGGCGCACTGTGATCGATACTGACATTGTGGGGTCCGTGAGGTTTGCCTGTGGGACGGCTGCCCCTGAGACTGGATGGGCGCAACAGGAACAGGAGCAGAGCCAGCACCGCCCATCCCATCAGAACCATGGGGAGGGTCAGGTCACCGCCGATCGGCCCATTGGGACCCGGCACTGGAAAACAAACGCATCTTTGCACTTGTAATCTACACTAAATGTTGCTGATCCCACAACACCCTAATGTGGTCATACATACATTCCTGAGGGCAGTTGGTGTCTGTGCAGTAGGACTGAGATTGCCTGAGCTGAGGGAGAAATTACAGAAGGAGCAAATCAGATTCAATACAAGAGGAGAGCGGGAAAAATGATATTAATTGATGGCTGACTTATTCACTCTGGTTACCACTCTCCTCATCTCGAGTTAGAGAAAACACAGCAAGTCTATAAACCAATAAAACTGACATAAAACTCCAGAGTTCCTTGTAACACTAGGCACACACACACACACACAACAATGAACTGTACAAAGTCCTGACATGTAAATCCTGTGAAAATTCTTTTGTTATTTGGACAACACCCTTTTCTCCCTTCGGGTGGCTTCAAGCTCTGAGCCATCTGCAGCTCGCCGTGCAGGTTACACCTCTGCACAAAAGAGCCAATGAGGTCACCTGGATACACAAAATAATCACAACTTCTATTCCGTGTTAAACGTAGTCCGTCTCCATAATGTTGAGCGCTTCTCTTACACGTTCCAATAAAAGAGAGCTGGAAAATACATTTACATGCCCAAAGCCAACCTGACAGCACGCAGTGCGACGGAGTGACACATCTTTGTGTGGAAGTGCTGATTGGCTCTCTGGATAAACACCGAGCAGGAACCAGGATGTGCTGGCTCCGTGCCAGTCGGCAGCTTTTCATTTCCTCCTCTCTGGCTGGGACTTTCATTTGCTTGCTAGTCGATTCTACCGCTAATCTATCGACTTCGGCAGGACATACTTATACTTTGTGCTGCACACTTGGATTTCCGGCTCCTGCAACTCAACAATAAGACCACTTAAGATTTGAAGAGACAGCAGAGGCCACTCACCAGGTTGATGAGGCGCCTCATAGCATACTCGTGGGTGCAGATGCACTCACAAGGGTCAAAGCCTCCCTCCGCCATATCTCACCAGACGGCGTCCACCCTGGAACAAAACGAAAGTACTGTCTCTAACTAGACCAAGTACATGAACAAAGGAGCGAAACCCAACGCTCCCTCTCGTCAGCGCTGTCCTGTATTGTTGTTTCACAGGGACACAGCTTAGAAGGAGACTGCTCAGTCAAGGACAGTCAGCACTGTGGCTGCTTTATCTCACTGCATGTAACCTAGGCATTTGTAATTAAAAATAAACTCTAACTAGACCTTTATTGACAACATACTGGAGTTCATTCTGGTGTCTGAACTGGTTTACACTGATGGTGCACTCGTTAATACAACACTGATTAGGAGCCACGTCATCAGCTAAGAACTGAAAGTAGTTTTGAAAAAAGGTTTTATCACATGGCCTGGCAAACTGATGTGAAACACAGACAGTGCTTGGATTAGTCGTAGGCTAATGCACAGATGTCTGCTGCAGGTGCCTAATCAAAGTGATCCAGGTCTATACTGCAACACCAGATACTAGATTTTTTTGAGGCCGATAACATGGATATTTGATTGATGGAAATTTGATTTTTTTTGTCCACCTGCCACTGTGGCTGGTGTATTCCAGAATGTTCTAACCACTCACTAGACTACAGTTGGGTTTTTTCCCCGCTGGTGACTGAAGCAAATCTAGCAGCCGCATGCATAATTTACCAGCATTTGGCTGGTGCTAATATCCATCCTCATTGGCTAAATTTCTTTCTCCTATAATACTGCCATCTTTTTTTTTTCTACACAAACACCTACAATAAAAAAAATCCCAACATTTTTTTCCCCTCAAAGAATAGTGACCAAAATATGAACAGAGCAGTACATTTTCCTGTCCAAAAATATTTTCCTTGCATTACAAACTGTGTAATGTATTGAGATGGTTTTTATACCGTTCTCTCTCTTTTTGTCCTGTTCTTTGCACTGTTTTTGTCATGACGACCTTTCCAGTATTTTCGTGCATAATGGTGACCAACTTGTTTGCACTGCTTAAATGTTAAATGTAGAACCATTGCCACCAGTGAAACAAAACGGACACCATGTTTTGCATTTCTGTTCAACAATCGTATATGTGTCTATGTATATCAGCCAATATATCTACCTGGCCGAGTTATCTGTATAGCTCTGGTCAAACCTATTTGACCTATGAGCCTACCTATCAATATTTCATATAATTGACATTTGAATAAACACACGACCGTCACGTTATATGTAATAAACACTGACATATACACACTTTCATTACTTGACATCGTGCTGTAATAGTTATACGTTCATAGTTTCCATGGGTGTCTGCCTGCATATTTCTGAAGTGACGAACAAACGAAGTGGCCAGTTTGATCTCGACCCTGCTGAAATCCATTCAACGGCAGCAATCATCACTTCTCACATACCAACCCTTCAGTTTGACATTCACGACTATTATAATAACTATGAAATAATATTGATATCTAACTAATTTAGCTAACGTTAGACTAGCTCCTTGCTAGCCTGGCCAGCAACAAAGCCTCACTGCGTTGACTGTTTTTTCTCTCGACTGTTACTAATGAACAGATTATCGACAGCTGTGACGGCCAACAGCATGGAAACAGGACTTACTCGAGCTGTGTAGACGTTGAGAAACCGTTCACTGTGTTTGGAGGGCCTGGGCTGCAGCGTTGTTGTCCCCCGCACGGAAACCATTAAACTGCAGACATGACAACCTACCGTCTGTGTTTTGTTGGTGCACGTGAGCCAACCAGCGATTCTTCACGAGAGACATCCGGGAACTAAACGCGCTGGGCGATTCAGACGTCTGTCATTGGTTCAGTCATTTGATGGGCGGAACTTTGAGCCAATCCCAGTAAGAAACGATTATAGCGTCTGGATAGTAAACAAACAGTCCGCTACCCATCATCAATACAGAGGCAGATGAACCGAGCCCCAACATCTGTACAGTTGTGTAACCAAATATTCAGTGAGGATTGTAACTCGAATACTGTACTTTAAAAAAATGCCTACATTATTATAGTATTGCTACTTTCTACTTATATTCCAAAACATTGCAGTGGGAAATATTGTAGCCTACTTTAACTCCAACACAAATGTCGGACGACTGTCGCTACTTTGCTTATTAAATAATAATAATCCAATACTATAATATATTAAATAGAACACTAAGAGGGCCAATTTGCAAAATGAATATTTTGGCTTTGATTCAACTTTTATAAACTCAATGTATGTTTCGTATGTAAAATGTGCATAGTAATAAATTTAGGTAAGTGTTGTAAAAAGTACAATATTTCAATATTTCCAAAACCTTGTCACTCAGTCAGGTTGGACAGCTGACGGCTTCCTTCCCTTACTTTTATTTCACCTCTTGATAAGCCACGTATTGAGAGACGAAACAACTTAAATGGAAGATGATATCTAAGCCATGAAAGCAGAACTAGTTGAAGTGTCATTTGGTACGTAGGCAGTTAAAGAGTGAAAAATGTGTTGAATCTAACAGCTTTCTTCCTTTACTTGTATATTTTGCTCCCTAATAAAAAACAATCAAGTAAAAGCTCCATTCCACATCAGAGTCAGATGTAAACATCCTGTAGGTGAATAAAAGGTGATAGTCACCAGTGCTGGAAAATAGAAATCAGATATGTTCAGCACAGGATGGGAAATGTCCGGAAAAGGCAAGTGTGAAAAACAACGCAAACCCATGTACTAGAGCTCATTAATGAAACTTCCAGTTTCTACTCCATTTAGCTGCACGCTCTGTGTGTGTGTACTGTATGTTCTGGACTGACTGGCGCTATGCTCCAGCGGGCAGTCGACGGCGACAGTGAGCTCGTTTCTGAAGTGAAAATAAGCTGTGGACGGTGAAAGTGAAAGGAGAAGAGCTCCCTAACTGTGAAAAGCACCGGAGCGGGCAGTCCTCCCCACACCGACAGACAACGCGCGGAGGGAGAGAGACACAGGGAGACAGACAGAGAGAGAGAGAGAGAGAGACACCCGGGTCTGGTCGACACAGCAGCTCTTCAGCAGACACAGCCATGGCTAACATCGCGGTCCAAAGGATCAAGCGGGAGTTCAAAGAAGTTCTCAAAAGCGAAGAGGTGCGGTAACGATTCTGGCTATATATGGGTTTTTACACTTCGATTCAGCTCGTTCTTTTTGTTACTGTTTTAACTGAACTAATTAAAATGTAAGTGGCTGTAGCCGCTATGTCAGATACCAACATTACCTAACGTCAGGTCCCAGTCCTGTGCTGCTGTAGGTCAGGCCTAAACAGGAGAACTGTAGCTTAGCTTTAGCTTGATGTCAGTGCCCCGGCCGAACCTATCCTGTTATTGTCAGGTGGGTGTGTTCAGGAAACACCGTGGATTCAGCTTTGTCAACTGACAGGCCGCTTGTTTGTAACGAACGGTGCCGCATACCTGTGGGTAACTACTTAACTAAATGAAACATACCTCGTATGGTTAATACCCGCCTCATAAAAGGCAGCGTATGTGTTTACTTACGATAATTAGCCGATGGCTCTTCGAGTTAGCAGCTTTTAGCTTGCTAATGGTAATGATATTTTGACATCTCAACCTAAGTTAGCATTAGCCCGGGGTGTACATGATACAACGTTCACCAACTTATATTTTTTAAAACAGTTGGTTTCTATTATGTAAGGATTTAAGCCATTTAGAGTGCATTTTGTAATTCTACTGCCTGTCAAGTCTTGTTGTGAGTTTGTAGTTATGCCAACTTTTGCTAGCTTGGCTCCAGTAGCAAGCTATCCACGCTGCTAACTTATTTAAATGTCCTAATGGCTCCTGTTGAACTCTGTAACAAACTTTGGAGTACAGTTGTTGTGCCTTTTTAACAGCTGACATGTGTGCAGCTTTCACATGTTTGTAAAAGAATGTGGTTGACACTTGACAGACATGTCGAGACACCGCGCTGTGATTCCGTGGAGCACCAGGGTAACGTTACCTTCTCATTTGTCCCAACCTATAGACGAGTAAAAACCAGATCAAAGTAGATTTGGTGGATGAGAACTTCACAGAGCTGAGGGGGGAGATAGCAGGTCCTCCCGATACACCATATGAAGGTATCGTCACACACCTGCATTACAATGGCCTGACAACATATCTACCACGACACTTTGTGATTTGTCATGCTGAAACATTTTGATGTTTTTCTTTCTTCATTTCAAGGTGGCAGATTTCAGCTTGAAATAAAAATCCCAGAAACCTATCCTTTTAACCCTCCAAAGGTACAAGCTTCAGTTGTTCCCATCTCAATACTTGCTGCATGTTCTTTACTCACGTTCAACTGCATTTACATGCACACTGTCATCCTGGTTAGGCGTCATGGTTTGGAGCAAACGCATTCTGGTTTCAAAAAACGTATATACGCTCTTAATCCTGTTTTTAAGGAACCTGAAGGTGCTAGCTGAGGTACTCTACTGTGGCTTGTAAACACCGTATACAGGTTTCCGATCACTGTCTGCCGTGTGCACAGGTCTACTCTAGCTATATAATTGTCAATAAATTAAAGTGTATGATAAGTGACAATCTGCTTTATCTCAAATGCAGGGGTGATGGGCATACAATCCTTTCTCAGTGATTTCATGTAGCAAAGAATATAGATATAGATATCTAGATATATAGATAGATAGATATCTAGAT